TTAAAATTTTGTTAATGTCAATCTTTAATCTGATCCCAAAGCTGTTAGGCTTAAAGTAATTTATTCAACTATAGAACAAGAGCTTTGTCATGTGGAAGCGAACAATAGTCTCTAGATCTGGGAATTTACCGTATTGCTCCAGAATCTGGAGTCAGTGCTGTACAATGGCACATTGGCTGTATTTGAAGACACAGGGTGGGGTCTAGGCCTACTTACTTGCTTTCAGGACTCACTTAATTTTGCTGCATTTCAGCTTTCTTCAGTTTTAAAATTTCACCAATACTATAGAAAGAACCGAGAAAAGAAAATAATAAACAATTAAATATAGCCAGTTGGGAAAATTTGCCAGGCAATACATGTTGATGAATAAAATTACAAAAAATATATTTTAGTAGGAACTTTAGGAAGAAAGACAAAGCCACTGAGACTTTTATAAAACTACCGAACTTGGGAAATGAAACATATGTGTAGTTTCTTACACAATTTTCTGTCAGAAAAATACAGAACAAGAGACATCAGATAGTTATATAGTTTCAAGTGAATAAAAATTGCCTTTACGTGCTTGAGGGTAACTAAACTACCAATGTGGGGCTCAGTAATACTTTAATAGGTAAAAGATGGTAAATTATTTTGGAAGGTAAAGAATTTTAAAAAGGTCCATTGCCCTACTTTTCAGAAGCGAAAGTATCACATTCACAAAAGCTAATTAGGTAAACTAATTTTTCTTAGTTTGGGAAAAATTGGCCTCAAATATAACTCATTTGATGGCAGTAGTTTACGTGAATTTTACTGTTCAACTGTGGACATGAAAAACTGGAAAACTGGGCACTTCAGAGATTAGGCATTAAATATTAATGCACACTTCACAAGAGAGGAATCCAAATGCCAGCTGTTATTTAAAAAGGTCCTCAACAGTATCAGTGATTGGGGAAATGTGGGCTCAAGCCACAGACAATCCTACCCCACACCCTCCAGGCTAGGGAACCTGAAAAGCACTGACAATACCATGTTTCGAGGTGTGCAGCAATGGGACTCATACACTGCTAGAGTGAGTGGATCATTTCGCATTTGGTCTTATTTATTCAAGCTTATGGTATACACTCTCAAGTACAGACTATACAGAAAGGGATGTGGATGTGATAGAACGCATCCAGGATGAACAACAGCATCTTTAATAGCCCCAAACTGAATAACCCAGATGTTCATCAACTATGGAATGGCTAAACAGTCACATATTACTACATTGGAACATTATAATATATAGCAATTAAAATGATCAAATTACAGCTATAGGAATAATGTGAACATTGTATGGATTAAAACAGTGTTGAGCAAATCCAGGGAGCACACACATTACATACTAATTTTGTTTACATAAAGCTCACAGGACAAAATTAAACAACATATTGCTTAGGATACATGTCTGTGAGAAAATAAGAAAGCCTAAGAAACGGTTATCACAAAAGTTAGCATGGCTACCTCTTAGTAGAGTTCTTTTCTTCAGGGAGGTCACCATGGGGCCCTGGGGTGCTGGCAATACTTCTTGCCTGGTGACTGGTACATGGTGGTTTCTTTTATAATTACCCATTATACTATATAATTATTTTATGCATTTAAAGTGCATTTCACAAAAATGCTAAAAGTAATTGAAATACTAGAAGGAAAATTTGGCAGATACCAATATATTGCAATCATTGACAGCACAAACCACCAATGTGGGATAATAAAACACTGATAGTTATTCACCAGAGCTCACTTTCAAGTGCAGGTGTGAACCTTGTACAAATGTCCCTTTGTTATATTTTATTAACACAGTACACAGATCTCTATCATAAATTGATGAATCAAGAAGTGTTACCTGAAACTTCACCGTTTATGGGGTTTTTGAATTGACTGTTTTCTCCTCTGGATTAAGAGGCAACATAAGGCACTAAAGAGATGCAGAGCGACTTGGAAATGTCTGAATTTCCTCCTTTCCAGAGGCCAGTTCCAGCTGTTTGTAATCAACCTGGGTGCTGAGGGGGGTAGCTTTTGCTGGTAAACTAGTGCAGCTAAGGGCTCTCAAGTGCCATTCTGTGGAACCACTGACAACAGAAGCAGATTAAGCCTTTGACAGCCTCTATGTGGTGCACGCTCTCCTGGAGGTGTTCTCTAGTGTGCTGCGGAGCTCTGAGGCTTCTTCTCACTCAAGCCCCAAAACTTAACCTATGAAGCGCTCACCTTCACAAAATCTCCTAAATTTGTGTTTAGCTTTTACTTTCCACCACTTTTCTGCTGTAGGATAGGAAGAGGGGCAAAAGCAGCAAAGATTCTGTAGCCATGTGAGGCCACGGCTTGTTGATTTGATTCCCTGTGAAACTTAGTTGGCAAGATACAGCGGGTGAGGCCTGGGTATTTAGCTCAGTGGTTTGGTGGCTTGCGTTGCAAGCACAAGGACCCGAGTTCGATCCAAAAAAAAAAAAAAATAAAAAAAAAAAAAAAAAAATACAGCAGGTGACTAGGCCATGTTAAGACCTTAAATTCAATGTTTAACCAGACTCTTAGAATTTTAGGGCAAGGGCAGAAGGGTCAGGTACAACTTTTGTCTCTCTTTCTTTTGCAGGTCCTCTTTCTTTTTCCTACTTGCTTTTTCTGCAGCACTTTAATAACAACGAGCCCTTGTATTTACCCAGGTGTTTGCATGGTCTGCTGTTTTGCATATGCCTTGGGTTCCCAAATTTGTCTCTAATAGTTGCTTTTACCCACGCCCCCCAAAAGATGGAAGGGCTTGTAATACCCAATCGCTGAAGTTTCCAGAGGAGGCAGGGTGTGCCAGGGTCCAGAGTCATAATTGTGGATTTTGCTTCCTTTCATCATTGCTGCTGCTTTAATCTCATTTTCACACTACTCAGCAGGAAAGTAAGTTAAAGATAGACTGAGAATTCTGGTCCTTTTATCTTAAAATTACTTTTCCTAAAAAACTAAGTTTCATGAGCTTTTACTTGCATTTACTTTCCAGTGTAACAACTACAGGATAAGCCACACAATCGTAGTGATGTTTATTTCACAAAGAAAATAATAGCCTTTGGATCTGAAACGTAAGCCAAAATTTCTTGACGGCGCTACGGGACAATGATGAACAACGCTTCGGACCACGAGCAAGAACGAGTAACAGTGAGGCACTACTGTTCTCCCTCACGGAAAACAGTGAAAAGTCCCGCCACCACCTCCCGGAGGAAGGCTCCCTTTCAATCCTCCCGTCCCCCTCCCCAGCAACTCTCCTCCTTTCCCACTAGACTCAGGCTGACTCTGTACTCAAGCCTCACCCCGTTTCCTTTCACGGCTGGGGGGGAGGGGACAGATGTATTACAATTCTCATCTTTCCAAAGCGCTGCAGTTTACCAGGCGCGTGCACGTTCATCCTCTGAAGAGTTCCGCGAGGGCTAAGCGAAAGAGGCTTTCGTTCACCCAGCAAACCTTTGCTCGGCCCGACCGCAAGTTACCCCGCGCTAGGTCTCACCCCACGCCACGGGAAGGGCGGGGCGCTCGCTCCCCGGAGCAGGTTCAATGATCAGGCTGTAGGACAGCTTCTCCCTGAATTGACTTTTCCAGGGCCTGTCTGGGGCCAAACGCCTCCTCACCTTCGGGTGCTATGCACCCCAGCCCGGCCCCACCGCCTAGGCTCCTTCTCGTTCTCAAAGGGGCAGTCGCCACCTGCCCCGGAGGAAACCGCTACACAGCAAGCTCTCCCTGCGGCCCTCGGGTCAGGGGTAAGATCAGACTGCAGCTTAGGCTCAGCTGGGCTCCTCCCCTTTCCCCTCCTCAGTTCTGACGCGGCCGTAGAGGCAGCGGCGGTGGCTGCAGCGGCAGCAGCGACTCCCGCGGCCCGAGGCGCACCCACCAGCTCGCCGCTCCTCGACTTCCTCTTCCCTTCTAGCGTCATCAGCGCGCGCCACAGGCGCCAAGGGAGGGGTGGGGAGAAGGGGGAAAGGCCCGCGGAGGAAGCCTCGGAGCGGAAAGGATAGGGAGGGGGGAGGAGAACGGTTGCTAGGCGACTTGCGTCATCAGTGAGCGCCGCGCTCCTCCCGCCCCTCTCTCTGGAGTGAGGCGAGAGCCCCGCACAGAGCGAGGGAGACTGCGAGCTGAGCTCCGGGCGCTGCCGCCACTGCTGCCGAGAGAGTGAGCGCGAGGGAGCATCCGAGGGTTCTAGCTCCAGTGCCCTGGCCGCCGCCGAGACCTCAGCCTCAACCTGGGCCGGCGGGAGCCGCGGCCGT